ATGTCTTATTAATCGGAAAGAAGAAAGTACATGTACAGTACATTGAGGTAAACACAATTAACAGATTATTATCTAAAATTTTACATTAAATAATGATGAATAATCTGTTTCCAATATTTATTATAAATTAATAAAACAAATGTGGTCCGGTGAATATTCATTTATAACACCAAAACAATTAAAAGAAGTTGTTAGTCAACATGCATCAATATTTACGGATTATAGGCAAAAAGATGCATAAGAATTTATGAATGTTTTACTCAATAAAAATAATATAAAATTATAAATAATAAAAAATTGCCTGATGATGCTCTCGGAGAGAGCGAAAGCTAGCAAAAGAAAAAACTTTTTATATGTAATCATCTATATACTGACGATCAATTATTACTAGTCATAGGCGGTGGAGCCACTAGGCTCGTTACCCTTGAGCCTTTCCTTAAGAGTCACTGCACGAGTGAGACAGCGAAAGTTGTTCAAGCGATGTTTGAGTTTTTGGCTCAGGATTTCAACTAATATCTTCATAGTTGTACTGGATAAATACTTGGCAGACATCTCGATTTTACTGCTGCGAAGCTTCGTTAGCCACCATGTTAGAAATGACGCACGTCTTAGCATGAATTGAGTTGTAATCAGCGTCTTGTATCCAAGGTGATAAGAAGGCCATTGTTAAAATGCACCCACTAAACACCTGACCAAACAATCGCCAACGAAGCCAAGAGAGAAAAAACACTACTCATTTACCGCTGTCCTGTAGGTGGATGCATATGCACACAACTACGTCGTTCGACCAATGTTTTCTCATCTTCTGTTCTTTTTCTTCTTCTAAGGTCAAGAAGAAGACAAGATAGAAACAGCAGAAGGAAGGACGGAACAAGACAAATATGTTTATTTCTTTTTTTACTGCGTTTTATTTTGACTTTAGCCGATTTCGTGGTGATCCATTCATTTTATCTATCCTGCTTCATACCTACACACACAAAAGTTTTACATTTTCACGGCGTTTGACCGTTCTGTAAAAAAGCATGTCTTTTTAAAGAATGGACGGTATGTGTTTTCCAATACTACTCCACAAAGTAGTGACCAATATACTTGAATTAAAACATCAGCAAGTAAATGTCATGACAAAAAAATTAAAAATAAATCACGCTTTCACAAAAAAAGGACCAAGGAACGTTAGATACCTTCCTCTAAAAACCTGGTCGTGGATTTTCTTTTGCACGTTGTATTATTTTCACTACAGAACATGACAGTCCGTCAGCCGACAGTTGTGGTGTAGATACAAAATCTTTTATCCCTCGAAAGGCTAATGTACATCCTTGATTACTGGGTCGAGCAAATTTCCATTTCGAATTCAGATACACCGCATCATCCACGAATGTAGAACCATATTGCTCAATTCTGAAGTATAAATAATTTTGTGATTGTCCAAGTAGATCAATACTAAAATTCACTGCCCAATTAGTACGAAGATTCGTTATAGTTTGTGTCCAAATAGTACCACGTAATTGAAGTTGCATAAACAATTGATCGCCCAGATTCACGATCATGATTTGACCACCCTTACAACCAGTATAACCATTCAAACT